CCCCCCCCCCCCCCCCCACATGTGTATGCTTGATTCAGAAAACACCTGATAATGAATGTTTCATATTTTGAAGGTTAATTAACAAGAAAGAATCTTCACAACATACATAACTAACTAGATGGCTTACCAAAACCAAAGGTTCATCACCGAATTAACAAAAGCCCTCCACCAGACCATGTCCTGGGCCAACAAAATCCAGTCTCCTTCAACTCCTATCTCCCATAGATCTCACCAGACATTATCCTCCCATCTACATCTAGGTCTCCCCAGCGGTTTCCTGCCCTCAGGCTTCCCAACCAATACCTGATGCACACTACCTGCCCCGCCCATCTCATTATTCTCCACTTAATCACCCTGACAGTACTGGGGGAGGAGTACAGATTTTTAAGTTCGTCATTATGTAGTTTTCTCCAGACCTCATCGTCTTCTCTCCTAGGCCCAAATATCCTCCTCAAACACCTGTAATCTATGTTCCTCCCGCATTGTAAGAGACCCGTACAAAACAGGCAGAATTATTGTTTTGTACATTTCAAAACATACATAACATTTTTAAAATTAAAATGACTATGACATGCTTAAATTATTTTGATGCACATTCTAGCAGTTTGATATTAAATTTGAATCTGCACATCATGACTAATAACAAAAACAAAATGCAGAACACAGACACAGAATTTCAAAGAAGTTCACTAACTTTATCAGACCAAGGCATTAAATATATGTCCAGTATAATGCTACCTGCCCAGTGAAATTAGAACGTGTAGTTTAATTATATAGGGTGACATACTTCTCGTGTCTTTCTTCTGGTTAAGTGAAAGCTGGCATCAAAATTTTGAGTAACTTGACTTAGTGATGAATGTATTATAGGGTGTGCATTGTGGATTGGACCATCTTATAAGGTAGGTATTTCTGAAAAATGAAGAGTTATTCCATACATTTAGAAAATTATTAACCTGCACCCAGCTTAATGCTACAAATTATTCTCTGCAAATTTTAATTTGGTTTTACTACCTAAAAGCATTTGTTTTTTCTTCTTTTCTCCTAGTGGCAATTTTTCGAGAGTAAACTACCTGATGTTTGAATCATACCATATATATGGGCCAGTTTTCCTGCCACATATTAATTTCAAATTCAGTTGTAACAAATTGATGTAAAAATTATTTTATGCATAATACTGCTGAATGAATGATAGGAAAGGGTGTAAGGATATATCTATCTTTTATGAATGGAAGGAGTAAAAGACGGAATTCCCTTACATATGAAATGGCGCAAATGCATAAACCACATTTTTTAACCTTTCAGTAAAAGTAACATGCTTTACATAAACACATCTCATCTTTATAAACATTTTGTTAACCAAAGTTATGCAATCAGTGAAATGTCAGACTGAGCTGGATGACCAGGGTTCATTTCCTGACTGCAGAGCCATTATATTTTGGCCAGTTCTGAGGCCCACCCAGCTTTTCCAAATGGTGCGAAAGGCAGGTGGCAATGGCTGACCACTCCACAAATTGCCAAAGTTAAGAACATGTGGAATATTATCTCCATGTGTCCAGTAAGAATTCATGGTGCAAATAGACACAGATGCCATTTTACATTTCATCTTATTACAATTTTCTGAAATTATTGCATAACTTACATTTCCTAATTTGTTACAATACCAAACACAATTAATACCAGTACATTTGAATCACATATGGTAAGAAATGTAAAAGTACTTACATACCACAGTAACAGAAAACAATTGATATTTTTATTGACTCTATTTATAGCATTGGAGGCTGTTTATTTACTTTCAAGCCTTGTTAATCGCATAAATTTACCTTATCAGACATTTTTCATTTAATGCTATTTATTTTTTACTTTATTTCTTCTGAATGTAGCCATACAAGAAATCCATTCTCTTAGGCACAAAAGTAAATGCATTTTTATATCTAAAAAATGCACTTTCAAAACTGACATCAACTGATAATCAGCTGGCCAAGAAACTTTTTCTTTTATGAACTCAAAGGTCATTCTTGTGTTTACAAAAGTCTACCAGTGGATCATATACCAAGAGAGTTAAACCCAGTTCAAATCTTCACGTTACTTTTCCCTGAGATCTGTTTTAAAGTTATATGAATTTATGCTTAGTCTCCCTAGCAGTCTGTTCCCTGAGGTTTGTCAACTGAAATTCTTTATGCATTTCTCACTTTATTCATGAGTGACAAATATTTCACTCCATCTCATACTTCTTGATTTAATCACCATAATAATACTGGTGAAGAAGCTCCTCATTAGGCATTTCTCTCCATTAATGTTACTTCATTTCTCTTTGATCCAAATACCATCATTCTCAAGCACACTCAATTTACTCTGCCCACAAGAGAGACCCAATTTCACACACTATATGAAACAAAAGATATGTCTACTAGTATAAGAACTCAAAATATAGTAAAACCACAGTTTAAAATTCAGAATACCCATATTCTTGGATGACTATGTAGAAGTTCTTTATAAGAGGGTTATACCTGAATACTGTACTGTATCTTACAAGGACTAAACTTTTTTTCATTATATCAGAGAGTATTAGGATTTTTAACAAAGTTCTGTTAACTTCACAAGTCACATACTGATGTTATTATTAACAGTGAACTGGAATGGATTTGGGAAAATTTGGTTAAGGGCTATTTTAAGGTAAAACATACCATTCACTTGAAAAGGCTGAGGAAATGGGGGAAAAAACCAGTCATACTCCAAAGACAACAATTCAGATCAAGCACCCTATGATCAGTACCTACTACAACGTGCTAACTATGTGGAACTTAAAAGCGGAAATTTTACTGTACCATCTTTCTGAAGATAGTGAGTTCAATGTGATTACAACATTATATATATATACACACATTGTTTACTCACATTGTCATACTTTTCTTCCATTTGGTTGGTACAGTATTTCAATAGATCAGTCATTCTCAGAGTAATCACAATTAATTTCAAAAATGCTAATAAAATCCAGCAAACTACATAAGGAATATAAAGAATGGGGAAAAAAGAAAAATTAAAACAACAATATGGATGTTTGCTCCATTATGTGGCTTAATCTAGTATGGCCCAGGAGTGGGGCCTTTTACCCAATCAACAATGTCTCTGTTGCTCCATACATAGCATCCACGGGGTGATTTTACATTTATAGGAAGAAGTGCCAGATAAACTGCTGCATCTGCACCTGCAAATAAAAGTACAATATTTCACTTAATTACACACACACACACTGCATGCCTGAAATCAAATGTACATTGTAAATTGACACATAAAAAGTCTTATAATATACAGAGTTTTGGTGGTATAAGAACAGAAGAGGTTATGTCACAGGAAATATATAACTGACCAAAAAACAAAAGTGTGATGTTTCTTCTTGGCTTACTCTGAATTTGATTACAGTACTGTGGTTGATGTAGTCACCTTTTGACTTCTTTTTTTAAAAAAACATAACAACTGTTGTTGTATACTTTATGTAATTTTCCATCTGAACATGTTTTCATGACCAAGGATTAAGGTGTTTCCACCATCTCATAAATGTTCCAGGAATACAATTTTCTCCCTTTTGCTCTATTTGTATATTATTCTGTGCACTGAACCACTCACCCCACACACTTTACTTGCACTACTGTACACATGCAGCTACAACTGAAGCCAATATAAAATGTGAAAGGCATGATTTCCAAAAATAAATAGCACCTAAGTGAATTAATAAAGAACTACATCACTCAAAAATGTGCACAATCTGAAATACAGCAATCCTTAAACATAAAATTTCAATAGAAATTTAACAGAAACTACAAAGTACCAAATGTTCTTCCATAAACCAGAGATGCAACCAATAACATGTTCACAGTAACATAAAATCTACAAATCTGTTTTGAACAGAACTTTAATAATGATTATTCCTTTTACAAAATATACAGAATAAAAATCACCTTGTGCCACTAAGTTTTTAAACATATTCTTTGGGTATGTAAGAAAAAAGTTATGGTGTTGCATATTCTTGTCATTGTGATTACCTTCTTCTATGGTCAGAGGTCCCTTGTGACTTGTCATGTCAGTATCCACATATCCAGGATGAACAGCATTCACTACGAGGTCCTCCCGAGGATCAGCATCAAATGCATGTTGCTGAATAAATGTTAGAGCACTCACTGCAACTTTTGACACTGAGTATGCTGAATTAGGCCAGCCATCCTGCTGATGCTTCCCTTCTGTGGCACTTCTGCAAATACAGAGGGAAGCAGAACCACCTTACAACACTACTGGTGGCAAAAATGGTGATAGTAGCAGTAAAATATTATAATTACACCAAAGCATCAAAAACAAGTTATGCTTTGGACATGCAACAAGAATGTAATTCCTTTGGTCTGGTATTCTAAAACATGAAAATGCCTGTGGTTCGTAAAGAACCTGAAAATGGCTGGTCTGGGAACGTGACCATGGTTTGCTATAGGTACCAAAGTGATAACTTCAACACTCAAAACTCTTGCTTAAGTGAAGTAAGTTTATTACAATTTAGTTGGCAATAAATGTTATTCCAAATAGGTTTTATACAATAAAGATGAATAACAGTTCTAGTGGTAGTGGACTAGCAGAACTGTTGACATAACACAGCATCAATTCCAAGCAAAGTTAAACTGTTAAAACAACTGGTGCAAAACAATGTTCCATCCTCAGAAATTTTAACATTAAAAAAGCAACTGCACTGCTGAAATTTATCAGCATGTATTAGAAAATTCCATATTTTTCTCCCACTATTCCTACAATAATAATTAAGACATCACATAGCAGTTGGAAACACTGGCTAGTTAAACATTTCTTCATTCATCAATAATTAAACATTTTACCAGTAATCTAATTATTATTTTTTTAATTCAGGAACTGTACAAAGCAATTCTGTTTCCTCGGCAAAGAATTAAATCACAGACTTACCTTTAATGGTTATTCTTATTTTCTGACTTATTTTTTTCTCCTCTTACTTAATTCTGTTAGTTTCTTTGTACAGAAGGTGGCACTCAAGGGGAATATTCAATTAAAATAAAAGGAAAATCAGTTCAGAACATGCACATTTGCTTACAACAATGGCAGAATCACTGGACTTTTGTGATGAGGCCAATGAAGATGTTAGGCTGGAACAGCCACTAAATGCCAAGTATAAAGAAAAAAAACCTGTCCAGGATTTCTATCACACCTTGTACATTTCTGATAATATGGTTTACTGCAGGTAGAACATGTGGGTAGACAATGGGCTGCAAAACTAACCTGGACTCATAACCTGGTCTCAACTGTAACAATCTAATCTTGAGATGTGAATCCCACAAACTAAATTATAACAACTATAACTACTACTGACAAACAAAACTGGATACACTATTTTATTCACCTACTGAAATGTAAATACATTAAACTAACTCTATGAACTGCTTCATAAGGTCAGACAGTTGATCCTCTGTGAGAGTTGGGCTGGAAAGTTTCTTTTTCAGTTTCTGTCCTGGAATTCTGGCCAGATGACCAGCCGAACTTGATAAGTTGACAACCCGTGCATGGGGGTTCAACAATGGAAACAATGTGTGACAAGCATTCAACAAGGAGAAGTAATTCACATGCAGTGTGTTCTTAGCTTGCTCCCCAAATGGCTCAGTAGCAGTAACCTACAACAAATCAATGTTTCTTATTCGTTTCTTAGTTTATTTCATGATGTGTTCTATAGCTTTCTTCAGATAAATCTTGAAAGAACATGTTCTTATCTTACCTTATATGCTATAGCAGCATTATTAACCAAAACATCAATTCCACCATATTCCTTCTTCATGTAATCATAAAATGTATCCAAACTATTTTGATCAGTAATATCCAACTGGTGAAACTTGGGCTTCAGTCCTAACTATAAATGTACAGTTTTGATTAGTTAACAGCTGGGTGGTGCTAGGTGTCACGTACAAACAAAGGATGCTTCCAGATTAGAATTTAAACAAGTAATTTCATCACATACTATATTTTGTTTAATTTATACACTCTCATTTTCAGGGTAAAACTATAAATGAAGTAAATCTCCTTATACCACTTTTCCATATTACATTCTTTTGTGTTAAAGGGAACATAAATACAAAATTGTTATTGTGTTTGGTGTGATTCAGCAATAATAGTTCTATCATATGTCCTTACAGACAATGGAATGGTATGAATGGTAGTGAACCAAGGATGAGATACCATGCTGTGGCAAACAAAGAAATGTTAAGCTGGAGACTTTATATTAAAGAATTTGATTATGGACTTCATAATTGATGTCGCACCATGCTGGAAGCTCCATTATTTGTAAAAATGTGTTATAAAATGTAACTATGTAAATACAAGAGTTTAAATAAAATCTTAAAAGCTATCTTGTTATAAATAATCACTATATGGGAGGATCTTTCTACATTTTATAGAGAAAACTACAAAATTACTCAACAATAATGGGACATTCTAAAGTATCACTTAAAAAATACTTGTCAAAAAGTCAAACAGTATCTATCACCAGCCAACCAGCGTGGTTATCTCGTTTCTTACACAACTTTCAAATCCTTCAACAGATGTATCTGAGGTAAGAATAATTATAAATAATGATTTTAAAAAAATGCCAAACCAAACAACCAATCAACATTGCACTCATTTTAACATATTTTAATATTTGACATATGTAATATCAATTGTACATTTATCTACTGGATAAATGAATGATATCTGTCAAAATTTTATAATGCTGCCATGTTACCATATAAAAATACTTAACAAAAAATTTGTATTTATGATCAACCATCATGCTAAATTTCACACACAAAGCTCAGGAGGTCCATTTGTTATTGCTACAACACTGAAAGCTTCACACAAATTTTATGATGTTACCAGTATTTCCTCAGCAATTCTCCCAACTTTAGCAGTATTAAAACACTGAAAGCTGAGGGTAGCTTTCAACAGCATAATATCATCACATTCTGTCAAAATCCATTTACTGATTCAGAAGTTATTGAGAGAAATGGGATGATCACACATAAACCTATCCTTATAAAATAAGGGCAGAAGGGCAACAAAAAAGCAAATTACATTTTCTAACACACTTCCTAATAACAAAGAAATCTGAAGAACTGAGACTACCTTCTTGGTATAAAGGTTAGTATTCTATGCAACATATTAACCACAAGACATGATAAAAGCAAAGCTGGTTATTTTATTTTCTGTGTACATGAAGTACACAAGCAACCTTTTTAAGTTCTGCAACTGCTGCTTCACCTCTTCCGACATTTCTGGCTGTCAAATATACAGTTCCATTGAACTTCTCACACAACCCCTTAACAATGCCATATCCAATGCCTTTATTTCCACCAGTGACCTAGAACACAATGAAAATAAATGTGTACCTTACAAAATAACAAATGGATTCCTATATATCCCTAAACTAAAAAACAAATTCATGATCCAATAGGTCCTTACAGATTATTCTGTACACTCAAGAAATTTCACAGAGAGTGAGGTTTTTGTATTTACAAATTTAATCCCTTGCAATGACATTTAAATAAGTGTAATAAAATTTTATCAGATTTTATTTAAATGCCCTTTTAAAACTACATTTTAGTGCAATCTTGTATAATTATTTTTGCAGTATCACTGAAGCTGACTGCAAATTACTGTCATACAGCTATGTAATTTATATTAGAAACAAGTATTGTATTTGTGCTATGACATATTCTACATCCTTGGCTTAAGACTATAAAGGATCTATGGAATGCAAATTCTATTCTATTATATTCTTAAAATTCTTCCCCTCATATAATTCAATATGTTTATCTGTTGTATAGCAGTACTCCCTATCACAACTATCAGAATCAGAATCAGCAGCTAATACAAATTAGATGTTATATATGGAAACTGCCTGTGACCAAAGTCTGGTGTGAATGTTTTGAAATATCATTCAACAGAAGAGTGCATATTATGCAGGAATCAAAATTTTCAACAGTCTACCATCAAATCTCACAAGTCTTGTAAATAAGAAGGAGCAATTTAAGGTAGCATTAAAAAGATACTTAATTACACACTCCTTTTACTCTGTCAATGAATTTATGTTGTTTACAAATAAGTGATAAATTTTTCTTGTGTGTAATGGGTAGATCTATTTGTAGCTTATCATTTCTCTAGGTGAATACTTTGTTTTGTATTATGTGAAATTTATATAATAGTTTGAATTGTACTTTATAATATGTATTGTATTATTATTATTATGACTTTTTCCAGATCCTATTGTCATCTGACTGTCTTATGGATCCATGGAATGTAAATAAATTATTATTATTATTATTATTACAGCAATGCAGAAAAAATACAAATATTCTAGCTGCAATGGCCCAAAACTTAACTGGATTCACAGAGTAAATGAATTGTTCGAGCTACACATGCATCTACGGGGTGAATGGGGGTGCTAGATACATATTACAATGATTAAGTGTAGTATGTCTAACAGGAAATATAACCCAAATCCCACAAGGTACAGAACCATAAGTGATAAAACTGGTTGCAAACTAGCAACAACAAACACAGGTCAATGCAGCACTGTATGAACTGCTCAGTGACATACTATATAAAATGAAACTTTGTATTCAAGCATGCTGTATAGTAAGCACTTACTATAGCAACCTTCATTGCAGAATACAGCAATTAGAAACGAAAAAATTGTAAAGAATTACTTAATGAAATACTAGGGAACAGAAACGAATTATCTGTTCCACAATGAGATCCAAAAATAAAACCGTAAATTGAATAGGATGACATGTAATCTTGAATTCAAGGTCAAAATGATCTATCTACAAAACACACACAGCACAAATTTCGCCAATACGCTCATGCCTTACAGCACCAAATTCCAACAGTGTGGCCAACGCAGCCATCAATCTCACTTATCCACTTGTCTTGATTAGAGAGCAACCCGTCGTCACAATCATAGATAATAACCTATATGATCCGTTGGTATTACCTATGGTATTGATGGTGATTTGTTTTTGTTGGTATTGTCAGTTGGATATTTGTTCTACAGAGATCTTGAAACTGTTAAGCCATTGCTATTTTATAAAAATGTTATTTGTTTCTTGTCCATTTCTAAAGGGCAAACCCCTGAGAATTGACAGTTATAGTGTGTCTGCGTATGAAATTAAGGGCAACGTACTTGCTGCTTGGGTAAGATTAATCTTTGTACATGTGTGGTGTTCTGTTATATCTCATGCAAAAATTTAACGTTTTCTAGGGTATTACCAGTAACTTTACAATACGATGCTCATTTTTAGCCAAGTCTGAATATCGGTTGCCAAGTTATTCTAGTTACTAACCCTAACGTAACTATTCTCACATGCCGAGTTTTCTAACCTGTCATTACATTTGATTTTATCTGTGGTTGCTAACACAGACGATCCAACTTATAGATTAATATAAAATACAATGGTATGGACGTGTCTTACAGTTGGATGACAGTAGCATTCTTTTTGTGTTTTAAGTGCCATTATTTCAGACACAGTACTACACACATATCTCTAATTTCTTTTTACTGCCATATTTCACTTAAAATTTGTCTGCAACAGTGTCTTTGATTGTAAGAGTTAATTTGTACCTAGAAACGTAGGTCTATACTTTTTAAATGGTTGAAACTTTCTTTTTTTCCTAGGGTTTTGATGAAAGTGACATATACTTATTATACAATGGTAAACAAGTGTCAGACAGCACTATTCTTACAAATGGTGTTGTTCATGCCATCCCACGACTTGTTGGAGGTAAAGGAGGTGAGCTATATACAAAACATCTTTTTCCTAAAATATTGCCATTTTACATGCTATAATGTCTCCACACTGTATATTAATTTTACAGGCTTTTATAGGCCAGACTTTCTGAAATATGCAATTTTCTTTCTTGTTATAAACTTTTAAGGCAAGCAGAAATGTCAAAACTTGATTCTTTATGGAATGTTTCTTTTTATCATAACAATATTAACATCCTTGAACAGCCATGGTACTTTAATGCAGCTGTTGCATTGTCTGTAGATTAGTTTAGATACAAAACATTTCTTTATAATTTTGACATTATATAAAGAAAATGTATCTATTTCAGCTGTTACTTTGCAGAAAAATGTAGATGTTTCAGTCTTTTTTGACATTGATACTCACAGATTTTCCTGAATTTGTATTTTGAATCATACTGGACAAAATCTGCAAGTACTTGAAACATTACTGTACTGCTTTCTTCACCATAAACCAATAATAATAATTGTTATCATATAACTTGGCTCACTGTAGTGAGAAGTTTCATGTTGAAGTTTGAAATATTCCAAATTCTATCTGAAATACCTGTATAAAATAGTTCTTGGCTGTTAAAATAATTGTATTCTAAGTCACCCATGACATTCTGTTATTGTTCTGCTTCAGGTTTTGGGTCTATGTTGCGTGCTATTGGAGCACAAATTGAAAAGACAACAAACAGGGAGGCATGTCGAGATCTTAGTGGCAGGAGGCTGAGAGATATCAATGAAGAGAAGAGGTGAGATATGATGGAAATGAATCTGTGATAGAATCACATTATATATATTATATTTTAACTCTTGAGCACATTGTAACATTGTATGTGATCTCTGCTCTTCATCATAGCCATCTGTAGAATAAAAATTTTGTTATTTATTATTACTGAATCATGTGGTTTAGTCACTGAAAATTATAAAGTCTTTGTACTTAAAACTGCCTTTAGATCTCCAGGTGGATATGATTTGGATGTGACGTGGCATATAGATGTTAAATTTCACTTCCATAATGTATTTAAAAACTCAATATTACACAACTTTAGCCAGAGGCCAGCTGTCATGGCTGAGATTTTTTTATCTCTCCAAGTTCATTTCCTTGATCTCTGTAGGTGACATAGCATTGTCACGTCACACACTTTGGCATCTATTTTACCAAACCAAATGCCCAGACATCAAAAATCTATATTGTATGAAGGAAGTGTTGTATCATTTAGGTTAAAGAATTGGATAGCGCAGCAAGCAGAACGAGAACAGGAGGCAAAGGAGCGTAAAAGAAGAAAGCTGGAAAGACTTCGAGAGGAACTGAAACACAACTTCCATGATCAGACTTATGAAAAAGAACGCTCCGAACTGACAGAGAAAATCAGTGATGCTGTTGAACAAGGTATGAGCTCAGATAAAATCATTACTGAAATTGACAATTTAAGCAAATGGATTAGTAGACAGCTTTCAAAACCAGAGCAGTTAAGTTGACTTTAAATTATTTAACGAACCAACAAAATATACTTTACAGTATTGAAAAGAGATAGAATCTTTGAAGTGGCAAATTTTGTATCTTTTTTACTTCTTCTTCTGTACTTGGTTTCTGCTGATAGTGGCATTTGCAATATTTAATAGAAAAAGTTATATTAGTTTAAAACACTGGAAATTCCTGTGGCTACAGGTTTTATAAATGCACTCTGAGATACACCTGACATCCTAATAATTTAAAGTGATAATTGAAACAATTAGTAAATTAATTCATTTGGAACTCTAGTTCCTGGGAAGGTAAAGTAATTCAATTTTGGGGTTGGAACACCCATCACACAAATATGACTGCTCTGAAAGACAGGATACTAGCAGATATGAGCTGCCGTTCAGCATTCCATGCTGAACGGTAGTGAACGCTTGGTGTTTTTTATATTCCCATTCTCTGGGTTTTGGTGTAGAGCGGACATTCCATCTATACACAAAAAATATCTGGGTAGGTTCTGTCAGAGTTTGAACCTGTGGATTGTGTCTTTGGAAGCCTGGTGTACTATTCCAAGAGCATCAGGATTCCAAGTTTTAAAATATTGTTTATAATAGTTCGTATTGCTATTTAGGTTTCAGGGTTGCAACAGAGAATAATAGAGGTACAGAGTGTAGCAAGAAACGAAAAGCAACAGACACTGCAATGGAAACAATAAAGAAGAAGAAGAAGAAGGAGAAGGGATGCTTATGGTAAGTGTGAAGAAGAGGTACTCATTTCAGAGTCCCACAGCCAGTCAGAGCTAAAACAGTTCATAATGAGGTTTCTATAATCTGATATAGTAGGGAGTTTAAACATAAGGTTTGTTTATGCATTCAAAACAGGACTTCTGTCATTGGAGACCTACCCCATCTTGTTACATTTTAACTTTCTGTCATAAGGAGCAATACTAGTGCAATTGAATGTGGGGTCTGTATGTTTTGTGTGGTGACATTTTTTATTTGAAATAAAACATTGTCCTCACAAAATATTTGATATGATTGTAGTTGATGATTTATAATGTGGCATTTGTAGTGTTGAATTACAAATGTTGTAGAGTATTTTTTTTATAAGAACATTGGTATCCATGTGAAATATTTTGTTGTGATGATGGTAACTGATACATCATTATAACTTGTATGAGAAATTTCTGTGATGGCATGTTACAAAGGCACGTGCTGTTGGTAATAGTCACTTCAAATCTTCACATTTGAAACTCCAGAATAGAGCACTACAACAGTGCATGCTTTTATATGTGATGCTACATTGGCTTTGCTGTTACAGGTTGGATGCTGATGAGGAAGGCTTAAGCCTCTCAGATGACAGTGATGATTCTGGTAGTGATATTCAGCCGGGAACTTCAGGCAATGGAAGAGAAGTTATGATAAATAATAGGGTGACTTGTGATGCTGTGGCTACTCTAGATGAATTCACTTCAAGTGAGAACTCTAAAGATGGGGAATCGAAGGATGCGACAGAGGATAGCTGTAAGATCGCAGTAGAAGCAGCAAGAAAATGATTTCCTATTACTCATACACCACATAAGTCGTGACGAACTCCATGGAGCAGAGGCCTTCTTGAAAAATTCAAGCATTTGCTGTGGTGGCTGTATTTTTCTATTTGTTGTGATAAAGAATATCTGTAAATATTTTAGTCAAGTGTATGATCTTTTAGCAAAATAAACCTGTTCTATCAATAAATATAAAACTTGCTTAAATCTTGCCTTTCTGTTGTGGTTATCAGTACATAAACTCAGTTCCTTGATCCATTAATAGTTCCATTTAAGTCTACTAAACAAAGGGCAATGCTACTGCTTTCTTCTGCAGTAATAACTCCAAAAATAACATACCAGTAACAGCATTCAGAATTGTATTTTATTTGGAAGGTACAGATTATCTAGACATGTTTTTTAAGAAAGATTGTTTCTTTGAACTTGACTTCATCTTGAGAAGTTTATGGAGAACAAAACTTCCTATTTGAACCGAACAAACAAATGTGGAATTCACAAAATGCAAAGAAAGATGCATTTTTAAAGAGTCCTCTATTCGGATTTCGTTTATTAACAAGGTAGGGAATGTATGCATAGTATAACAATTTTGGCACACTTGCCAGAATCTGACCTTTGTGAATGGCCAGGAAATTTCCCACCCAGATACTTCAGAGTGCAGAAATGTGCAGGCCCTCATGTAGGGTCTTATTATTGTCCAATTTTGGCCAAAATTGGAACTTTTCAAAAATCTAGTAAAACTCTCGCAACATAACATTTTAACTATTCCTCAGTTGTTTCAGGTGTACATAAAGACACATGGAGTGATTTTAACAGGAGTTCTGCAGGAATGTTAACATGCCTAAAATCATATTTTGTATGACAAAAAATTCACTGTGTTTCACATTGCACTCATATCAATAAAGTTCACTTTTAAGTTCATTTTTAGGTTTGGTGTATAAAACTGCCCTTATGTCTAAGCACCACACTGTGAAGATATACTTGGAGGAAAAGCTCCTATATAAATATATTTTGATCTACAGGATAAAATAAAATAAATGAATGAATAATTGCTTCCTACCCCAACCATTCTGCTGCAGTATACATGGTTATCTTATTACACCCTAAATATCCAGTGCAGTTGCTAAAGCTTCATTAAATAGTGAATGATCCTAGAATCAACATAGCCCAATATACATCTGTGACCAAATGTTTCAATTCTTAAGTCTACTCACAATTTATAAAGCTTTTGACTTGTAGGGACTGGGACATTGTAATGGCTGCAATGCTCATAATTACTATTGACCCTGTGCAAAGAGAAGCCCATAAAATTACATCTGCTGCAGGTAATAACAAACTGTAAGATTTGAGGTTTTCACAGCGGTGAGTCTGAAGATTTCTGTCTTCTGGGTTGTTGCACTGTGTGGTCTGGTGGATGTTTACCAACGTTTCAGAGGTCATACTGCCTCCGTCATCAGCGCGATTGAAAGACCTCTGTAACGTTGGTTAACATCGACCAGACTACACAGTGCAACAACCCAGAAGACAGAAATCTGCAGTCACAAACTGCATTAATAGGGTAAGTGGCTAGAGAAATGTCAAATATTTTTCTCCTACTGGTAAGTTTGCGTTTGTGACAGAGATAGTTGGTACACATATCTTGAGATTTTACACTAAAGATAGTTCAGATGCACAAGGACAATGGAAGAAGTCAGTTGCATTGTTCCAGGTAATGGCCTTGGAAGTTAACACTGCCTGCTCATCACCAAAAACTGCTTATAGATATGTCTGTCTCATCACCCCGATAATTGAGGCAGAATGCACATGTGAAATGTTGGTCAAATTCTACAAGACTACATGGTGCAATGTTCCAGAATCTTCATGGATGTCTCACATTATTTAATGTTATATAAAAATGAGGCCTACTTTTAGTATAATTCACGAAAATGCTGATATATATCCCATATGGATACAGTAACACCATTTGCCATTTTAAGCACAATAATCTTCACTGATATCTTTAATAAATACGTAAATAAGTAATAAGATTCGTATATATGTACTTTGTTGTGCTGAAAGCAACTGTCCAATGAAACTTGTGGAGTTGTAGGGCCCCTTTTCCCAGTAATAATTTATTTTTCAGTTACAGCTCATGCACGTGTGAATATTTATGCGAAATCAGGACTTTTGTAATAATGTGCAATTGCATGTGGATGCAACATGTAGAAATCACGACAGCATGAAAGTGGGATTTTGAAAGCCATCATCACACGTCCGGTAGTCTTCCTCTGAAATATTACCATTAACGAACTGCTACGATATTCTGCGGGTTCATGGTCTGAGTAGGCCTGTCTAATAATACAGTGATTCACGATTCATGTGCCAAGGACGATACTGATTACAAGAGCGTATGGAACAACTGTTTCATCACAGACAGTTCATAAGATTTCATGAAATTAGTGGCGTAGTAATGGAACATGTTATTGTACCCGGGAACATAATGTTCAAAAGTAATAATCAGTACTGAAATCTACAGTTCCATTTTGTAAGCGGTGGAGTGGAAAAATGAATTGTGTTCATATTTCGCTAACGAAAGCATTCCTTCTTTGCCTGACATACTCTTATTATAAACTGTACTAAAATAATAAAACTGCTTACGAAAAAATTAAAGACACATATTATCCTAATGTCTTAATATTTCCATTACTTAGTTGTTAGCCTTTAATCAAATTTCTATTCTGTAACTATAGTTTGAGGTAAAAAAAAGATTCAATAAATTGGTTTCGTATGTTGTATGTTCAAAATCGCGAATAACGATTGTTACTGAACCGGTTTTAGATTTAGATTCATTCCCGTCTTGGCATATTACTTCATTTTGTCACACAAAATGTTTCTGTAAATTTGAAACATTTTCAAAATAAATGCCTCACACGTATCGCAAAACGTCTGTACACGCACTTACATCTGGCATTCAATAAATCAATTATCATTTAATCATTAAAGGCCTGTTTCACAGCTAACGACATCCAAACCCTGTCACCAATTTACGCATGTGGACTGACCAATCCACCACTTTACTTTCTATCCGAAGACAACTGACTTTTAAGACGGCAAGAAGTCAGACTGAATCCCATCCAATCTGTTACATTAACAGATCCAACAGAAAAACAAAATGAAGTAAATTTTAGCTTGAGTTATCTTTTGATTATGGACAAAAATCTAATGTGATTCCTGCCACTATCTTGTTGATTTATTTGGAAGAAATCTCTGACGTTTCTGAGCACAGACACGAATACAGTGGGGACGGTCGAGCTCAGCACAGCGTTAAGATAGGCACTTTAATTACCGGCCACCAAGCTCTAGGAAGTCCACACCGATTCATTGTCCATTGTTCTGAATCTGGACATGTGATTCTTCATGTGACAAGAATGACAAAAGCGTGATAAACCTTGATATTCCGGCAGCTGAGTACGAACATAGAACAAGCACTGTCGGGAAATGCTAGAAATGCAGATAATGGCTTACGTATAATCACATACAGAAGTCTGACAAGGATATTAATACAAGTCTTTTCTCAAAAGAGACGTCACTTTTTAGAAACCATATTTGAGGTCTAAAATGGAACACAGGAGAATGACGAACGTGAAAAATATTTTCGATTTGGTAACGATACATAACCATTGTAACTTTGCACTTGAAATATTATTGGAGATGACAGTGTTATTGTGCCGTGTAGTCTCGTAGAAAATGACCGACGTTTCAAAGGTGAGTACTGCCTCCGTCCCGGTGTGAGGGCGGAACAAAGGAATTCTAATGACATCTGAGACGGGGGCTAGGCAACTGGCCTAAATGGGAAGCGTCTTTGTTTACATCTTCCAAGCAAGGACCACGAGCATAAACTTGCGTGTGGCAAAGACAGCTCGCTACAGAAATTACTTGACCGGAAACTGACGTGGAGCTAACAGGACGTAGCGGGAAAGAACAGGGCGGGAATGACCCCGAAGACAGTTTACAGGGTCAGATACCATTGCCCATTTTATGGGTGGGAAATACCCGGAGGTGGGGAACAGAGATGATTCAGTCGGATTACAAAAATATATTATCTTACCACGTACCATTCCATTGTGTGTTAAGTTCTGATCGGCCAAGTTGTGAGAATTCTTGTACGACTCCTGATTACAAAATAGACTCAGGCGATGACTTCTGACAGCCAGACATCGCCGCGCGCGCCCCAGTGTGTATGCAGCACTTAGCTGAGGGAGGCCGCTCTGAGGTAGGTCCAGTACTTGTGTAGTGCTCCGTTTAACAACGCTTTCTCAACTGCATTGGACATACAGCGTCGAACGATTGTACCTAATAAATTGAAAAGAACGCGACATGATGTTGTAGTGGCCTATTTTGTGGTGATATTCCAGCACGACGTGCAAACAGTAACGGTGAACGAAAATTGAATTTAACTGCAGATGACGTCATGCTTGATCATAATAATAAATTTTAACTTTTTTATATAACAGTACACGTTTACTGAAGTAAGTCAAAATGCATTTATGCAAATCATTTTTCACTTTTTTACTCAGGTATGATGAAAAGTCAGTTTATGCAACCTTATTCAAAAAGTATGTACGCTCTTTTGTAAAATGGTCGTTAAAACTGTCCGATCTTAATTAAAAGTGCTTCAGCAGTTTTTCGTAAAATTCTCCAATATTGAATTTAATAGAAATCAGGTCATCAATTCTCGAGATGAACACGCTCTGCGACACGCCAGCTGCGCGGGACTTCGCCATGCTTTTCCCATCACAATTCTGGTATGTGCCTGGGAAGCCATAGTAAAATCACGAACACCGCAATCAGGATAGCCGGTCTTGTGATTGAGATTTGAATATGGTCCTTCCATAATACGACGTACGAATGCAAAGCACTGCACCACCATGTTCGATCAGTGGATTTTGCTTACCGTGCGTGTGTTAAACAGCGTGGAATGATTATGGATGATGAATTGGGAAGAATTTGGAAGGAAGCGGTCGTGGCCCATTTAAAGACACTGTCCTGGATTCTGCCTGGAAGGACTGATGAAGTCTGGAAGTTCATGAGTCAGTCAGTTTTCGGAACAAAATTCGACCCTAGGACCTCCCAAATACATAGTAGGATAGTTAACCTCTGTGCCGTGACGTTCATTTAGTAGTTTTAATACAAGAAGGTTTTATGACACTTTAAAACAAAGCAGAGACAATAATGTATCTACCTGAAAAAATATATTAAAAGGATAATGGAGAGAATGAGTTTTAAATCGAAATTATGCTGCCTTGAAATAGTACACATTAAATCAATTGCGTATTATCAAATGTGATGGCCTACTTTGAAAGCAAATTATCATCGTCTTTAGTGGTACATTTGAGGAATTTCATTTCTCGGAGCTCGGCTTTAATATTAGCCCGAGTCAACAATTTCGTCACCCACATCCATGCAAACACATCTGAGGACTGTTCCAAAGTCTCGTTCGCGTTACAATTTACTTTACAATTTTCTTATCAACCACCAGTTTATCTACTGGAAGGATAAAGCTAAGTAAGAACTTTTATATGATCGTCTGCATACCAATAAACTAAGTACAATAACCAAAGTCCTACATTATTTGAAACAGCTTCTTGGCGGTTACCCGGGTTCAGTCCCAGGGGACAAGAAAGATCCGTGAGGTATTTAGGGGCACTGAAACAAGTGTTACTGAGACCTTCGGTGTCCCCCCCCCCGTAACTATGTCATTTTATCTGTCACCGTCCCTTAGCTCTTAACAAGCAGCATAATACTATGTCCTCAGTTCTAAATTAGGGGCATTTATGACTTGGCTAGTCTTGGAGTAAAGTTAATTTTAGTTACTGGTTTATAACGAAATCTTGACGTCGCTACGAAAAAAAAATATTTATGACACATAGATTCGATTTTCGTGATTTGATTTGATATCGATTGTCAAAACTGACAGAGTGAGACGCTTGCAGAAGGAGTTACCGCGCTGTGTGGTCTCAGCACGATGTATATGTGTTTCCTCTGAATTTTAAACCGTGAGAGGCAAAGTGCCATTCGTACTTGCGGTAAACCGCTGAGGAGCGGAGCGAGGATTCTTAATCACAAGCCGACTATTTCGAAACTCTTAAGTTACCAGGCGCCATTAGTCTTTGTCTGGCCCAATCTTGTAGTTACTATTTCGCCTTCCCACCGTAAATTGATTAATTCTTAGGCGATTTAATGACGCTCTCTCAAACTGACTATACTAGGCTAATGAGATTATAAAATGGCCATGAATGGTGAGTAGTCAAAGATTTGGAAAAATGCTGTCATTCGAATAAGAAGATGGTCAATGAACAATGACTCGGAAAGGATATGGAAGGAAGCGGATTGCCTAATTCAAGATACTATTATAAATGGATATTTGCCTAGAATAAAACTGTCGTGTTACTGACCCATGGCAGGTCGTCTCGAATGTTGCGTAAACAGAGTTGAGGCTGTGTGGTAGATGATTTGGGGGGGGGGCGGAAGGGGGGAACGCACCAACCAGTTCTCATTAATGAGTTTGTTTCGTGCAGTAATGAAGGATAACGCTGTAAGAATTTAACGATTTCAAAATTACAACTAAAAAGTTAATTTTATCCGCCTTCGAGTCACGGTGATTCTCTCAGAAGAAAGCGATTTCCTAATAGGTCACGGCATACTGACTACCCTATACGTGTCCCGAATTGGACAACTAAATTTCGAACGCGTGTGTGAAGTTTCAACCATCGCTTTCCGTTAAATACAGAAAAATTCGTGACATTTAAACGATTTAGCTTATACATAGATGTCTGTGTCGTTCGTTCCTTTGTTTATTGAAAGACGTTTTATCAACGATATAAGTTACGAATTTTGAAAATATAAGATTAATTCGGAAGGCGTCCGTAAACTTCAACAATCTGCTTAACAACTTCTTGCTGGCTGGAGCGAAAACCAGATGAATTTAACCCAAACCTTCACGTTTTTCATGTTTCTTATATTTTGATATTTTCTTCCCAAATACGTCTAGATTTACCAAGCGGTTCATCGTGTGACCATTGTAACATTGCTTCGTACTGCAATTAAACTACACTTTTATGAAAGACAAACACATTCTGAAGTGGCACGTGAAAAATGGATGTTGTCTAAACAGAAAATGTACGATCTGCGTGTTCCTTTCCTGCAACTGCTGTACAGACAAACAAAAACAATAAGAATAACACCTCCGAATATGCAGCTAATCTATTGAATTTCGTTTTGTAAACAGAGGGGAATACATTTTTCTACTGAAAAGTAATATTCGAAGTAATACAGACTATCACGTTATCACGGGCAATTTTTGGGCGAATGTAATCTCAGAATGATGGACAATATTGAATTCTTTGTTTTCAGATGAAGTCCGATGGCACCATGATATGTAGTGTTGCCGTTTTGACGTGTACAGTCATTTCTAACATTCTGGCTGTAACTAACACTGGTGAGTACCACTCTGATCTGTTAATATACAAAGTGAGGTACTTTCATTTGCAGGAGTGGTAATTTGAAAACCAAAATCTTCGCCGATGCAATCCAGTTTCTTTACAGCACAAGCACTGTGGAAATGAGGCGTCACTTTATTACCCACACTCTTTGCTTATTTCATTACACACCTCTCTCACGTTATTTAATGATGCTATCTCAACTGCACAAGATATCAAATGAGATGGAAATATGATTCTGAACAGTAAGAAGTAGAAAACACGAACAAACGAGGTTATGGTGGCGCCTATGGAGGCATCTGGAGGAGTCCGCGTTTGACTGGATTCTGTGTTCAGCTTATATATGAATTTTAAAAATGTTGTGCTTTCAATGCGATTTACAAAAACACTGCGGCAAGATATTTTCCGAGTACTTCGGTTTTCCTCTGACAATCATCACACAAAACAGACAGCAGTTCCAAAGGAATCAGTTTAATCATTCATATTCAATCTAATACGTTTACTTAAAGTAATCTGCCAACATTTGTTAACAAGAACTGAGCAGACTGCAACAACCGTGTGGAGTTAGCCGCTCCACCAAATATAAAGCGTGAGTTATGATGACTGCTACTTGTCGTGAATTTCTATAGTTAATATAAGATGTGTATATGCCTTTTCTTTTAGTGGTTCCATGGCAAAGGTCAGGTGCGGGAAATTCAAAATTTAGGACCGAAAGATGGCCGGACGTTCATGCAACACCCTTCACTTTTCAACCAGAAATTCTCTCCAGACTGGAATCAGAACCCTGCAGTTGCATTGAAGCGACGCTTTGTCCTGAGTTCCTTGAAACGTTGGCCCGTTATCCAGCACAGTCCGAGGATTTAAGACGTGTCACTTGTGGATTCAAAGGATTCTGCCCCCTTGTGTGTTGTAACCAGCTGCCCATATACCGCCACGTAGATACAAGTTACTTCCCAACATCTGGGCCTTACCCTGAGGCAAAATGCAACCATGTAACTACAGTGGAGCCACGGATAAACCTCAGTCCGACCCCTTACCACACACCAGGTGTGTATTATCACACAACAACTGCCAGGTATTTGAATTCTGCAACCAGACGCAAAACTGACGAAGAAACTGGACAACCAAATAGTAATAACGTGTTTTATCAGGACACACGATTGGGTATGCAAGATAATAGTTTTGTGACACCAAGTACTTCAGTACAAGGTACTCCAAATACTTCCACTAGACCAAATTTCATGTCCAGCATACCAGCGACTCCAGATTATTTTGTAAAGACACAAGCTGATCCAGCTTACAGTCATGAAGGCAGCCAACATTATCCAAACAACTCCCCTGAACTGTATCCGCAGTCTGGCCACCCCATATTTACACCAAATTACCCGCACAGATACGTACCTTCTGGTCACTGGGGCAGAAGAACGCCTTATGATTCATATGAAAGTGACCGACGTGGGTACAGTCCTGAAGAAAACTACTCAAGCCATAACAACGGGATGCATTCAAACCACAATCCGACTGTAACAGTCGAAGGCGGCTTTCAGCCCCAGAAAGACCCATCGCTCTATGCCACTAACGGCTATTCGAATCACCAACAGTCATATCCTGGTGTTAACCATCCACCTACTCCAAATTATGGATACGATCCCAGAAAGCATACTTTTAATCCGTCTGAACCTCACACACAACCCTCTGTTGGAGCGCATCAAGACGGGTTTGGATTCAAACCTTATCAACATAATCATTTCAATCAAGATCAACATTTTCATGAAGAGAGCCACACAGTTCTGCCTCCGAGATTTAGTCCCAGCGACACAAAAAAGACACCGCCAAGCCCTGAGATGAAGATCGTCCCAAGTGACAGTGACGCGGGTTCCGCCGGAAGACAGTGGAAACGTCGACTGTTACCAACTGATGAATGTGGCGTGTCACTAGGTGAGCGCATCGTTGGTGGAAAAAATGCAGTTCTTGGGGCATACCCTTGGATGTCCCGAATTGGATACAAACGTGAGTAAAATACCTGATTCATTTAAATGTAAGAATAAAATGAACCCGAAAACCACATTACATTTGGGTACACAGATATTCCAAACGCATTATTTACTATTTCGCGTCGTACTTTCTACCATCCGCAGTTGACTGAAAGAACAAATTTCTCCTCTTGTGCCGAATAAGTCGTCACTGATTTATTACGACCAATAATAATGACAAAACAGCTTAAGATTTCTATTGTATTTGTTATTGTGACTCACGTCCGCTGGAAAATAATCCAAACAAATGGCCCTGCTTCTCAATATTACATTCTTAAAATTGGTTTACTGGGAGGCTTATGACGGCGGGGCGAGGGGCATTAGCCTCATGCTTCCGTAACTTGTAATGAATTTGAAGACGCAGCCAGCGTGCACTATTATATCACAGAACGACACGCGACCTTGACCCGTGTCAAACGGAAGTGACTGTGTGAACATGTCGATAAGTAATACGAAGGTCACAACCTCCACGTATTACAATTAGCCCTGGATCCGCGTTAGTGTCCGCTTGGCGATAGCATCTCCACGCATGCGTCTGATATACGTGTATCCTGTTTGTGGCAGGTTCCGGCTCTGACACCTTCTTTTACCGGTGTGGAGGTTCCCTAATCAACGATCGGTACGTCATCACTGCAGCGCACTGTGTTATCAACCTTCCCGGCGGACTGCGACTGTAAGTGGGGGTCAGAGGATGTTCCCGAGAAATAGTGAGATGCTTATTCTTTGGTTATTTAACGACGCTGTTGTGTAGTTTACATGGCGTCGAATGAAATGTGGGATAATCATGAATGGTGAGTAGTTAAGACAGCTGAAAAAGTGGTCGTAGCCCACGTCAAGGTACTATGCCGGAGTTAGCAAAGGGAGCCTGAGGAAAACCACTATAAATAACGTCAGGACAGTTGGAGATGAAATAGGGTTCCTCACAGAGGTCCGGTGATCTCGTTGGCCATTCGACATGGTTCGTTTTCGAAGAAACTTTTTCGTTAACGAACTCACTCTCCAGCTTTACTGCTACACGAAACTGACTGGGAATTGAGAAAATTGCATGACAAATAGCTTTATAATTTATACTTAACTCTTATTTTAAAGATAGCTTTTACAGATGTTATAGGGAGTACAATTTGGTGATTGTACGGAGAAATAAACAGTGACGCTCTTGTGTCTCTGTAGGGCGTCTGTTCGCCTGGGAGAGTTGGACGAGAGGACAGACCCCGACTGCGACCAGTCTGAATGCGCCGATGAAGTTCAAGATTTCAGCCCTACTGTCGTAAAAGTGCATAAGGACTATGACAGACCTAAATTCAGAAACGATTTGGCCCTTATTCGCCTTGACAAACCCGTCAACATCACACGTAAGATCTATTATATTTCTAAAACGGTTGCTTGATTAATATTTAAACTGGACTACACTATAATAATTGTTCTTGGCTGCGAAAAAATTAAAGCTAAAGTCACAAAACAGATACATTTTTCTTAGAAGGTAGTCTTGCACACAATGTATATATTTATGCTGTACTTTGGGGAACTTATATTCTTTTCAGATAGTTTGTAAACTCATTTCATTAAAAGTTTTCAAAGTTACGCAAATATATATAAAACAAAAACATTTTTAAATTAAGCTTTTATAAAAAAAACAGACATTGGTTTTGATAGCTTCAAAACATTTAGTACATTTTAATGTAATTTCCGACATAAAATTAATTAAAACAGAGGCAGTAGTGAAATTATTTTAAAACAACAAAATGAAGCGACGAAATTTCACAAAATAATTAGAACTATAAAATATTTTTCTGCTTTATTTAGCATACGTCAGCCCAATATGCTTGCCGTTCGATTCTCTCAGGAACAAGACATACACCGGTCTGAGGTCTTTTGTAGCAGGATGGGGAGCTACAGACTTAGGTAACACCTGCTTTAATGCTCACCACGTAATTACTCTCCCTGCATTGATGCAATGCATGAAGCTAGCAAAACTACGAGTTCCAGCTAATGGGTTTTCTCTCTTCTTCACTCCCCATCTTTTTTTCCTGATGAAGAAAGCAGAATCCAGCTTCCGAAATTTTATAATTTTACAATTTAGACTATGGATAAGTCCAAAACAACAATTTTACACATTATAAAGCATAATAGTCAGAAACCTTCCAGACTGTGATTAATGGCCTTGTGGATCTCAGAACGTGTTTGATAATTTCTGCAAGAAGTCATCAGAAACGTATAAAAAATCAGTCCCAAAACATAAAGGGGAAGGGACCACATGGAAGGATAATGTTGAAAATTCGTCATAAAAATACGATATGAAAATCTGGACTGGAGTCGTCTGCCTCAGAAGCGAATCCTTTGGTTTGCTCTTGTGGACATGGTAATAAACCTTCCGGTTCCACAAAAGGTGAGGAAATTCCAAACTCAGCAAACATCAGACTCTGCTCCGTGGAGTTAATTTTTGGTGGCGAATGAACCTTTGGTGCAGCAATTAAAACGAGACATAATTCTGAAGATGATTAAAACCCAGTTATAGAAACTTGATTTTTCAGGAGTCGCCAGTTCGAGTCCCGTCTTGCAGTGGGCGACAGTGACTGTAGTGCCACCAGTCAGCTGCGCCAAGGTGTTCGCCGAACGGACGGGTACCCAACTTGGGCTGGGTCAAATATGCGCAGGGGGTGAGAAGGGGCGTGACTCCTGTGAAGGCGACAGCGGAGGGCCACTGATGCGAGGCGAAGACGAATTCCAGCGCTACTTTCTCTTGGGGGTAGTCTCATTTGGGGCACGGCGTTGTGGCTCCGAGAATCTGCCCGGCGTCTACACTGACATACCCGCGTACCTGGACTGGATACTTGACAACATGGAGCCGTAGTGTTGTAAACAGTAACAAATTAAAAAGTCCCGTTACGAAGACAGGACCGCTAGAACACAGATTAAGAGTTCGAATCCCGCTTGAGACCTGTCCGAAGGCCAAGGGTTAAATTAAACAAACAAACATGATATTTGCTTTTAACGTTACTATACCAGTGTTGTCAGACTGTTCTCTCGAAAAGCTGTGATTATTGAAATAAATTGCAAATGGCTTCTTGAAGCAGAGAAATTTCGGCATTTGACATTGCACCAAGGGCCATGTACTTTGTTTACAATCGGCTGGGATGATCCCAACTTTGGATTGAAACCTGATATCTCAAATGTAGAACTGAGTCCGACAAATTCAGGAAGGATTCAATTATTGTACTGGTTCAATATGAATATTGTAGTTCCAATTTAAAGAACTGTGTTGAATGTAATTGCACACGTTAAATCAACGAAAAGATTTCAAATGAGATCATTCTAATATTTATTATAACTATATTAAGTTATTTTAACTTATGGCAATACGAATATAATACGTAGTTAATCTAAGCTGAGTTAAGTGTTCTGTTTTGTGATCGTAGTTATTTATGTAATATATAAAATGTTTGAAACTTAGAAAAAAACATTACTTTGAAATGTAACACAATTGTATAACGGGGAATTGCAGGCCCTACGATTCCAAAATGTAGAAACATCCTCAAACAACCAACACTTGATTTCCTTACAGTCCTCCGACACAGTAATAAGTCACGTGTTGGATACACAACAATCACGTGGGGTTATTAGGCCACATTTGTATTTTTATATTTTATTTATTTAGTGTTCTGTCTGACGACAGGTCCATATGAACAGGATCCTTCCATCCTTTTCTCGGACTGGGACCTGTTCATATACGTTCTTGGCAGATGATCCAGAAGTGGTTTGCCATTGCCTTCTTCTGTGTGTGAATGGAGTATTTGTTGGGATGCCACGGAGAAACCGGGGAAGCCCCCGGAGGAAAACTCCGTGATGCCTAGACCACGGCCTTGCCCAACACAAGTTATAAATTCGGGCACCGCCGGGAATCGAACCCGAGACCCCAGGATTACAAGGCCAGCGTTCTAACCGCTAGACCACCGTGGCGGTACATTTGTATTACTGAAATATAATAGGCGCCAAAATAAAAACAAATCTGACAGATTCCACTCACCAGTGCGTTGCCTTTTTCCGTACTGCAGCTGACCTGCCAAGTTCTTTCTGCCTTGGATAGAGGCTCTGTTGAAGGCAGCATGAAGTACCAATCCTGAAACAAAAATTTATACACTGAAAATTAACTGGTTGTTGTTATTATTGTTGATATTATTATTATTCCCATCATCATCATCAGATTACAGATACTTATTTCGTTTATTTAACAATGCTGTCAGTAGTTCACACTAAATATCGTAAAATGTTAGGACGAATAATTGGAAAGGAATCGGCCACGGCCTCATTTAAGGTACTTTTCGGAATTTTCTTGGCGGTACTGAGGATAAACACGAAAATCCAGTCAGGATAGGCGGTCTCCCGGTAGAAAACTGAATCTGGGGCCTCATAAATTCCAAGTTCTTTCCACTTGACTGCGAAATTCAGTTCAGAAGTTTAATATGAAACTTTTAACAAGATCGTTTTGGACTATGCTTGTCACTTACTACATCTCAACTTAATAAATGATCATTATCCTTCTTGAGAAGCTGTTGTTGAGCAAGAAGTATTACAATTATGAGATGGATGTAATGTACGAAGAAGCATTCGTGACGCATTTTAAAGTGCCGTCTTGACGTAAGCTGCAGGGATTAACAGTAACTCAAAATTAACACACAACAGAGGCTCTTTACTTGGATATCCC